TCATTTTGTCCTGTCTCTGTCCAATTCAGTCCAAGCTGGTAGTGTTTCTGGTGATATAACAACCATGTTGGTTGTCTGTGGATATCAAGGGGATCCACACAATTATATGCAGGGGTTCTTCTCAGATCCTTCCTGGATCACCCATTTCTACTTCTGGTTGCTGTTGAGATAGCTGGTTGGATGCATGAATCATACACCCAGTCTCTTCACCAAAAGGTTGTCCAGCTACATTCATGGCCTTGTCTCCAGAGCAAGGATAGGCTGAAAATTTTTCCAAATTATCAAGTACTGATTCCTTTTCGCTTAATAGTGCCTTCCTCAATTTATCTCTTTCCTCCCATATTTTACTATAGTCAGCAAGGAAAAACCAGGCCACATTTTTCAAACTTTGCTTGGAAAGCTCCTCAGCTAAATGTCCAACTTCATCACTTACAAATTCTTTTTCCACCCAATAGCAGAACATGATTCAGCCAATTTTCTGCTACTTTACAAGTATCGCCTTTTCTCCAGCTTCCAATGTTTTCCTCATTTCTGTCTGATACCTCACCAGTATATTTAATGCTCATTATTCCTAGCAAAATTCTGTTCATGACAATATATGTATTCTTTAAGATGACAGAAAAGGTTTCTACTGTCCTTTTCACTTCCTTCCAAGCCCTTGCCAGAGTCACCTTTAACATCCATATTTCTACCAACAATCTCTTCAAGGCAACCTAGGTATTTTCTATCATGAGCCTCAAAACCCTTCCAAATTCTAGTCATTACTCAACTCCAAAGCCACATCAGCATTTTTAGGTATTTGTTAAAGCAGCACCTCACTTCTGGTACCACAGAGTGGCTTAATACAACAGAAATGTATTCTCTCACAGTTTGGAGGTTACAAATCCAAAATCAAGGTGCTGGCAGAACCGTGCTCTTTCTGAAGGCTCTGAGGTTCATGCCTGTCTCCTAACTTCCGGTAACTGCTGGCAATCTTTGGTGTTCTTTGCCTTGGAGATGCATCACTTTAATGACTGCCTCCACATTCATATGGTGTCCTCTCCTCTCTGTGAGTCTCCTTTGTGTCTGAATTGACCTCTTCTTATAAAGACACCAGTTGTTGGGTTAGGGCCCACCTTAATCCAGCATGGTCTCATTTTAACTTGATTACATCTGCAAAGATCCTATTTCCAAATAAAGTCACATTCACAGGTACCATAGGTTAGAACTTGAACATATCTTTTAGGAGGAACACAATTCAACCCACAACAATGTGTTAAGTACAGACCAAGAGTTGTTTAAACTGCTGTGACTTGGTTTTGAAGTTGAAGACTTTTCAAAATGATGCCAATGACCTCACTGACTGAAAATAAAAGAAATGATCTGATTTGAATTCAGCTCTAGAGGTCTTGGAGAATTCTGGTGTTTGGGATACAAGCCTACTCATCTCTGTCAAAGTGAACCTTAGGAACTGATAGTATTGGCCATTATTTCACCTTCTGAATCTGTTTTCAGCACTTGTTGTGTTTTGGGTTTTTTTTTTTTTTAAGATTTTATTTATTTATTTATTTGAGAGAAAGAATGAGCATGAGCTAGAAAGAGAGAGAACACAAGCGGGGAGGAGGGGCAGAGGGAGAGGCAGACTCCCTGCTGAGCAGATCCCAGGACTCCAGGATCATGACCTGAGCTGAAGGCAGCAGCTTAATGGACTGAGCCACCCAGGCACCCCAGCACTTGTTCTGTTTTTAAAAAGTCACAGTCAATTGGACATGCATATTAATATTTCAAAGATGTTGGATTGTCCATAATTTAGATGTACCATTCAAAATCAAACAGGAGCGGCCTATGTGTTAATATTTCTTTGATCAAAAGGAATGTTAAATTTTTCATTTGGCTTCACAATTTGGATTTATTTCCCTTTTTTACCTGGACCTGGGGATTGATTTTTAGATTGAAATTCATTCTTTGTGAAGACTGATTATATAGTCTAACTATCAAGGGAAATTAATTTCTAATACAATATAATACATGATAAGCAATACAGGATAAGCAGTCGGTCTTTATGTCCAACTTTCTAAGGAAGAGGTCTGTAGTTTTTATCATATTCTCAAAGTAGTTGTATTACCCAAAAAAGATTAAGAACCACTGGTGTAGAATCTATGCCTAAATCAGACATATGTTAGTTTGGCCTGGTTTCCCCCAAGAGGAAATGGAATAGGAAATGGAAATCAGGTAGAATATTGGTGGGTGACCTATCAGTTTCATTCTTGAGACTCTCATATCATTTCCCATGCCTGTATTATCACTCCTGATCTCTCTGGAAACCTTTGAATTCCTTTTACCTTACTGAGAGGAACTTCTCCAGTGTCAGGTGGTGTGGACCACAGTTGGGTCTAGGGTTGTTTTGGTCGATTGATCAAACTGTTAGATTCCAAGCTGGCTTCTCAGCCTCAGAATGCAGTATCTTTGATAAGACTCCACAAAGCAACAAATCTAGCACAATCTGAAAAAAAGTTTGATTTCCTTGGTTAAATACTCAGAAAATCTATATTCACATCATCACTTCCAGGTAAAAAGTTAACAAAACCCTCACCTTTGTACATAAGTATTAACCTTTGATTAAATTTCTCATTCTTTTTTACTGAACACCTGTTTAAAGTAGTATATCGGGGCACCTGGGTGGCTCAGTTGGTTAAGCGTCTGCCTTCGGCTCAGGTCATGATCCCAGGGTCCTGGGATCCAGCCCAGCATCGGGCTCCTTTAGCGGGGAGCCTGCTTCTCCCTCTCCCTCTGCCTGCCTGCCGCTTCCCCTGCTCGTGTTCTCTCTCTCTCTCACTATCTCTCTCTGTGTCAAATAAATAAATAAAATCTTAAAAAAAATAGAGTAGTATATGAACTATGGCATTCTCATACAGCGCTGGTGGGAATGCGAAATGGTTCAGCCACTCTGACAGTGTAGCAGTTTCTCAAAATGTTAAACATACAACTACCATGAAAGAGAAAAAAGTACATGTCCGTATAAAGTCTAGGACAACAATGTTCATAGCAGCTTTATAATAGTAAAAAACTGGAAATAACCCAAATTCCCATCAACTCGTAAGTGGATAAACAAATTGTGATACATATATAGCTAATGGAATATTATTCAGCAAAAAAAGCAATGGACTACTGATATACAACAGTGATACAGATAAATCTCAAAATAATAATGCTCAGTGAAAGAAGTCTGACCAAAAAAAGAGTGCATTCTGTAAGATTCTATTTAAACATCTCTAAAACATGCAAACTAATCTATCGTTACACAAAGCAGAACAGTGGTTGGGAGCTGTGGGAAGAGAGGGAGGAGATTCAAAGGGTAGAAGAAAACTTCTGAGTTTGCGGATACGTTCATTATTTTGATTGTGGTGATGGTTTCACAACCACATAATATGACAAAACTTACCAAATTATATACTCTAAATTATTGTATGTCTCTTATATCACAGTGAAGCTGGGTTTTTTTTGTTTTGTTTTGTTTTAAAGATTTTATTTTTATTTATTCATGAGAGACAGAAAGAGAGAGAGAGGCAGAGGGAGAAGCAGGCTGCCAAGGAGCAGGGAGCCCGATGCGGGACTCGATTCCAGGACCCTGGGATCATGACCTGAGCTGAAGGCAGACGCTTAACCATCTGAACCACCCAGGCACCCGAAGCTGTTTTGTTTTTGTTTTTGTTCTAAAGTATCTGCACTCCATTCTTGGGAGGCTGGACCCAAACAAGTTCTTTACAGGAATATCAGAGTCTCACTCATACGTCCCTAAGATTTCATACATCAGAAGAGGGTCTTGGGCTGGGACAGAAAGCCCTCTACTTCTACCTCAACCATCATTTCAGCCAATCACCACTTTTTTAAACCTATACCTCTTCCCAACATCTCATATGTCTCAATCATTCTCCTAACTCCCCCTGCACTTCCTAAGAAATTTCCAAGGACACAATATCCTTTCCTATTCCAATGTGCACCCTGCTCCCCCAAATTTCAGGTCCTTTTTCTCATCCTGATCTTTTAGCCACTGAGGAATGTACTGGCAAGCAAACTGTTTAGTTTCTATTTTGTTTATTTCTGATCTTGTCTTTATTAATCTCCTTACTTCTACTGGTTTTGAGTTTTGTTTGTTCTTTTTCTAGCTCCTTTAGGTGTAAGTTGGTTTGAGATTCTTCTTGCTTCTTGAAGTGGGCCTGTATTGCTATAAACCTCCCTCTTAGAACAGCTTTTGCTGCATCCCAAAGATTTGGGGGCTGTGTGTTTTCATTTTCATTTGTCTCCCTGTTGGTTTTTGTTTTTGTTTTTTTTTAATTTCCTCTTAAGCAAGCTGTTGAGAAAGACCCCCCTGCGGCCTTCCTTGATGGCAAAGTACATCAAAATCCAGCTTCCCAGCAACTCAGGAATTAATTGCTGAGGATTACTTATTTGTAGGGCAATGGTTCTCGAGGTGTGGTCCCAGAACCAACAGCAGCAGTACCTGTGAACCTGAGCTCCCACCCCAGACCTACTGAGTGGTAAACTCTAGGGGTGGGGCCCGGTAAAAAGTATTTTAACAAGGAGCCCAGGTGATTTGGAGACACACCACTGTTCTGGGGGAAAAAACCAGAAAGGACAGGAAGAAAGAATGGAAGCACACCAGCGAACATGAAGGGGGAGTGGGGATTCAAAGAGAGAGAGACAATAAAGAACTCATTACGTAGTCAGAAAACCTACCCTGCCCCAAAGAGCCTTCCCGAAAGATGTTTCGACATTCACGTCAAGAACCGGCAGATAGGGCAGCAAGGGACCTGTCGCCGGCTGACCAGGTCGCTCGCTACAGCTGGGCTGGGGCAGCTACGCGAAGGTTCAGGGGTTAAATCGCCGCAACCCTCCCCCCAACCCGCCGCCGCCACCGCCCCCGCCTGCGCCCGGGCGCCCCCCCCCCCCCCCCCCCGCCCCGCCCCCGGCCCCCCCCCCCCCCCCCCGCGCCATAGAGCTGAACAATCCTCCCAGCTTCCTAGAGTGGACGCGGCGATGGCGGTTCCGCAGCTTGTGAGGCTTGACAGCGACCTGGAGGACACGTCGAGGTATGGGTGCTATCAGGTCACGGGAGCCCGGGGAACTAGGATGATCTCGCCTCCTGAGCTGCCTTGCGGCGCCGCCAGGAAACCCTGTGGGCTTTCTTGAGTCCATGGAGAGTCCCGGCCACCGGGGTCGCCCCCAGGCGCTGCTCCTGGGGACGGTGGGTCCTTGGCCTAGCGCGCTTTGGGTACCCGGTCAGCGCCTGCGCGGCCTTAGTTTCAACGAATGAACACCAGAAACTTTGGGGGCATGTAGAATCAGGAAGGGGGATGCATCCACGCAGATCAGCAGAGCGTGCCGGCAAAGAGCAACCTGAATGTGCGAGTGCTGGAAGGAGGGAAAGAAAGATAATGATGGTGACCAGTCGTGTCGGTTTGGCGTAGGAAAAGCAGCGAATACAGCGTTAACCGCTGAAACAAAATCTTATAATGCCCTTCCCAGCCTTATCGTCCCAGTTACGTCCTTATTTCGGTAGCATTTACCCCCAATTATGTTTGAAGGTCTCTAGCCTTGGAATGGAGAATACATGCCCAAAAGGGTTAATGTCTGATCCTCATCACGAGGGAGGAAGCTTAAATTCTGTGAGAAAATCACTTGGAAATTAAATGAGATTTTATTTTCTCCTCCACTTTTATTATCTAGAGGATGTTTCTGGTGGTCTAGTCTCAGAAATTATATCTCCAGTCTCCACAATGATTCCCTTCCAAGCCCAGTGGTGCCCCGTTGCCTGCAGGTTTCAGACTCCTATGTGGACAAGAAAAGCTTACTAAGGAAATGGTAATTCTCCAGTTGCTCCCCGAGGTGCCAAGTGTCCAGTTACAGCCCATGGAGATCCACTTCAATTATGAATCTCAAGAACACCACCTTCTGTCAGGTGAGAAGCAGTGTATTATATCTTTCTTAGGGGGTACAGGGAGGTTTGTTACTGGTGCTATGTTACTGTCTTCCAGTGCTATTGGTATTCTTCGTTGCCAACCCCTCACTGTATTAGGCAGTACCATCTCTGCTGCAAGCAGAGTCACATAGCTTTATTGTGAATTCTGGCAATCAAATTCTCATGGAGTTCCCTCCTCTCCTTAAGGACCCAGTTATCCGTTTTTTCTCATTATAATCACCTTATCACCAGTCTGTCAGTATTTGATATTTTCCCTTTAAAATCTTTTCAAGTCATCTTTTTTCAAGTACTGTAGGGGCATAGTTAAAAGTTTTGGAGTCTGACACTGGATTCAAATACTAGCTTTGTTATGTACTAGCTTCAGTAAATTACTTGCGTTTTGTTTTGTTTTTAACGATTCTTTTACCTCATTTTATAAGTATATAATAACTCATACCTTGGAGGTTATTTTGAGGATTGTGTCTATTACTCCATAATAAAGGACCCCAAAATTTAGTGACGTAAAACATCAGACATTTTTATTTTTTATTTTATTTTTTTAAAGATTTTATTTATTTGACAGAGACACAGCGAGAGGGGGGAGAGGGAGAAGCAGGCTTCCTGCTGAGCAGGGAGCCCGATGTGGGGTTCTATCCCAGGACCCTGGGATCATGACCTGAGCTGAAGGCAGGCACTTAACAACTGAGCCACCCAGGCGCCCAACATCAGATATTTTTAAACCACATTATTTTCTTATGGTTCTGTAGGTCCTCAACTTGGACTGGGTTCTGCTGGCAGTTTTTCTCTTGGTTTTGTCTGGGATCACTCATGCAGTCATCTAGTGGCTCAACTAGGGCCAGGGTGTGAGTATCAGTCATATATGTCTGGCTACTGGTGCTGGTTATGGCTTGGGTCATCCATCTGCAGCAGTCCAGCCCAGACTTTTTCACAGGACAGCCAGTTTCCCATACAGACAGAGGGCAAGACTTGGGAAGCATAAGCACTTTTCTAACCTATGTTTGTGTTATATTGACCAAAACAAATCAACATGACCAGTTCCAGAGTCATTGTGGAAGAGAACTACACAAGGATATAGGTATTTGGAGATAGGATTCATTGGGGTCCATTACTACTATAACAAACACTACGAGCACTAATGATATTCCAGTATATAAAGCTCTACACACAGACTGGGCTGTTACTAAGTTCTTTGTAAATGGTAGCCACTGTTATTTTTAGTAAGATAATTTTATTTATTTTTTATTTTTTTAAGATTTTATTTATTTATTTGACAGAGAGAGACAGCGAGAGAGGGAACACAAGCAGGGGGAGTGGGAGAGAGAGAAGCAGGCTTCCTGCTGAACAGGGAGCCCAATGCGGGGCTGGATCCCAGAACCCTGGGATCATGACCTGAGCTGAAGGCAGACACTTAACGACTGAGCCACCCAGGTGCCCCTAGTAAGATAATTTTAATCCCACCCTTGTTCAGGTGTTCCGCAGGGTCTCATTTCCACATCATATTTTGCTGTTTTCTGATTTTGGTCCTCCCATTTGCTGCTATTTTGCCTGTGAAATTCACCTTCTATTGTTATTTTCTTTTACTCTAGATCTTCTGCCTCTTTATAGCTTTGAAGTGTCTTTATTTTATTTTGTTTCTCTCTTCTGTATTTAGAACTTGTCTTAGCTTAAGAATCTATTCTAAGGCATCTAGCTCTCATTTTTCCTGAGAATTATGTAGAATTGGGTCTCCTTTTTGCAGTTTTATATAAATTAATATACATATTGCATGTGTTTGTGTCTTTTAGTGTGTGTAAAAGAACATTTTGCTACTATAGAGTAATCTAATTATACTAAAGTACATTTATAAAATATAGAAAGACACAAAATGGGAATTTAAATAACCTACAACTCCACCATCTAGAGATAGTCACTAACATTAATGTATCCTTCAAATAATTTAATCAACTGTTCAGCACTTATTGTTGATACATGTTTATTAGTTAATCAGATTATAGCTTATTAATTATTGCTGACCATATAGGATGGTTAGTTATTGAGGGGTTGCTCTGTGCTGGGCACTGTTATAAGTGCTGGGCATATAGCAGTGAACTGAACAGATAAGCCTTTGCCCTTAAGGAGCTTACATTCTGGTGGGGGAAACAGGAAATAAGTGAATATATGGTAGAGTATCAGATAGCGATAATCATTATGAAGAAAATAAACCAGGATGTATCAGTCAGGATTCTAGCAGGAAACAGATGGTTCATTCAAATTGGATAATTCAAGGTTTCATGAAGAAGATGGGCAGGATTACAGAAATTAATAAGGGATAGAGTACAGCTTTGGGACAAAAAAATGATAAGCAGTTATTACCTTTAGGCCTAATGTTACAAAGGGAGAGACTGATTACCAGATCCTGGAGAATATAGCTGTAGGGGAGAGCTGCCCAGTTGGAGCCATGGCCTTTGCTAAAAGAAACACAATTACTTCCAACTCCTGGCCCAGCAAGAAAGGAGTCAGGATGTAGAGTGAAGAACTCATCCCAGTTTCCCTGGGATTTAGCACTGAAAGTCCCATATCCCAAGAACCCCATCTGTTTTGGACAAACCAGGATAGTTGATCACTCTACAGTTCTCCTCCTTCTTTGGGCCAAATCTAATTGCAAGCCAGAGGACACAGAGTCCCAAGTGCTGCAGTCCAAAAACCAGTATCAACCTCTTGGAGCACAGAGCAACATGAACAGTAGATCTAAAAGGGCAAAAGGAGAATATCCCATTACAGTCCACCCCTTTTAACCTATAATATTTACTTTTGTCCTTTGTTTGGTTTATCATGTTCCCAACACATATCTTTTTCTTAAGCTCTTTAGCTACCATATCCTTGCCAAGTTGACTTGTAATTAAATTCTATTCCCACCTGAAACATGAAACTTCACTGCCACTGGTGCTCTTCATATAACGTAGTGAGGTAAAGGGGGAAAAGGCATAATTAACTTAAAATCATTGCTACAGTTTTTGCTATTCATAAACTATCTACTTCCATCACCCATTCCATATTGCCTCTACCCTCTGCCAGAATCTCAGTGGCAGAGTTCTTTACTTAGTTTAGTAACGTAAACCTTTTTTCCTGGATGATCTGAGTCCTTGATGATCTTGTCTCTTCCATGTTATTTCAGCATACCATTGACTGGGCCTTTAGACATGAGAGAACTAGGAAGCACCCGCATTGAATCGTCTGAGTTCTACACCTACTGTTCTTTGCCTTCATTATGTAGCAGCGGCCAATTCCCCAGTAGCAGTTGGTATCAGTCATCCTAGCCAGTAGAGCAACCCTTTCTCTGCCTGTTGGTGCAGCAGCTTGAGGAACCCAAAATGGCCAGGAGACAGTCTCAGCTTCAGATTTAACAAAATCATGACTTTGTTCCATGGTAGAAGTATTTCTTCTTTGAGAACCAGAACCCCAAACCCACTAAGCCCAAGATTATGGGGATAGGAATTAAAAATAATATAGGGGCACCTGGGTGGCTCAGTTGGTTAAGCATCCAACTCTTTTTTTTTTTTTTTAAAGATTTTTATTTATTTATTTGAGAGAGAGAGAGAGAGCACATGAGAGGGGGAAGGGTCAGAAGGAGAAGCAGACTCCCTGCTGAGCAGGGAGCCCGATGCGGGACTCGATCCTGGGACTCCAGGATCATGACCTGAGCTGAAGGCAGTCGCTTAACCAACTGAGCCACCCAGGCACCCTAAGCATCCAACTCTTGATTTCAGCTCAGGTTATGATCTCAGGGTCATGGGGTCGAGCCCCGGGTCAGACTCCCTGCTCAGTGGGGAGTCTGCTTGAGATTCTTTCCCTCTCCCCTGCCCCCACCCACATGTGCACACACGCTCATATGCTCTGGCTCTCTCTCAAATAAATAAATCTTTAAGAATATAATATAACAAAACAAAAAAAATATAATCCATAATATAAATGGACTATTAGTTATATAGTAAAAAGAGACATTATTACTACTCCTCTCCCCTTGACTCCTATACCCATGTATTCTGGCCATAGAGAAGACAACACTGTTTATTGTCCTCTGGTTTAAGGCATATATTGCATCCTGTAGGACAGCACCCCAAACTTAGGGTGTTGTTGCCTGGCTGGTACTGTAACAGGGCCTTCAGTAAATCATTCCACTATTATTGAAATCCACTTACTTCTGGATGATAGGACATGTGATAAGACCTGTGGATTACATGTGTGAGCTTATTGCTCTACTTCCTTCCCTGTAAAACTACTCCTTTGGAGGCATTATTGTATAGAATTACCATTGTAACAAATACAGCATTCTCTTAGGTCAATGCACATTTGTATTTGGACTATATATTTAGTCCTTTGAAAACAGATTGTTGCCCTCTTCATGATAGAAGGGGCCAGGTATAATGAATCTGCCCCCTAGTTGTGGGCTAGTTCCTCTCCAGAGAACGGTACCAAATGAGGGGCTCAGTGTTGGTCCCAGCAATTGGCTGCATGCATACATAGCTGTGATGATAGGCATATCAGCCTTGATAAGCAGATACCTATATGGTTGACCCCACACATAGCCTCTATTTCTGTTGCCATGACCACTTTGTACATGAGTCCATTGGGCAAGCATTAGTAAAAAGGCTGATTGACATTCATAACATGGATCACCATGTCCATCTGATTGAGAGGCTTCTTTACAGTGGATTCAGTTTGGTGAGTATTCACATAGGACACAAATATATTCATTCTTTGCCCATCCTAGGAGGTCTATCATAATTTTCTTCTAGAATCCTTATTTCTAGTCTTCCAAGTTTGTTCTTTGAGGTACCTAACTAATCAGATAACCCATTAGTCATTATCCATGAATCAATATAGATGTGTATCTTAGGCTCTGTTGCCTTCCATGAAAGTGGACAGCCAGGTGTATACTTGAAATTCTGCCTACTGGGAAGATTTGCCTTTACCAGTATGTTTCAGGTCACCTCAGAGTCAGGGTATAAGTAAAAGATTCATTTTCTGCTAGTGTCCACACACTGAGCAGACCCGTCTATAAATCAGTTCTGTACTTTTTCCTCCTCTGTTAACTGGTAAAAGGGCATTCCCATTAGGCCATGAATATCAGCCTATGGGGAAGGGATTAGTGGAGCAATAGGAAAAGGTATTATGGCAACCCACATCACTAGCACATGGAATTTATTTGTCTTCCACACTTGCTTTTATAATGGAATGCTGGTTTGTATGTCCAGTTTTATGATTTGATGGATCAAATAGCTAGTTCACAATGGTCAGCTTATAATAGTCATTTGGTGCTCTGTGGTCAAGCATTAACTCTCTGTTAGTGCCCAAGAGCAAGCCAATGTCTGTTTTTCACTTAGAAAATTGTTGGCAGAAGAGAGTATGGCCTTACTCCACTGACGTTCTCTTCTGGAGGCTTGCCAGAGGCTTAATACAGCATCCCTGACTCCTGCAGACACTTCTAACCATTGGTTATCCTGGTTAATAAAGTCATGTGACAGGACAGCTTGCATTGCAACCTGGACCTCTGCAAAGCCTTTTTTAAATTTTGAGTCTCACTCAAAGATAACAACCTTACAAGTTATTAATATTGGTCATTTCAGCACATTCGACTGTGGTATCTGTTTTCTCAAAAATGCAGGGCTCACCAAGTATTGTGCCTTTCTGAGGTAGTAACAGTTGGTTAGAGATATAAGGGAAGTGAGACAACAAACCATATGACTATCTGAGAGAAGAGTGTTTCAGGCAGAGGGAATAGCAAATGCCAGAGGCCCTTTAATGTAGCAGGAGCAGAGTCAGTCAGGGGTAGACAGGAAATAGGGCTGGTGGTGGAATGAAATGAGAGCAGAGAGAGAAAGGACCAGATGGAACCTTCTAAGCCATAGTTAGGACACAGAATTTATTCCCAGTGTAATAGGAAACCACTGGAGCATTTTATGCATGATAATAACATATAAAGATCGCTCTGGGGATGCCTGGGTGGCTCAGTCGGGTTAAGCGTCTGCCTTTGGCTCAGGTCATGATTCCAGGGTCCTGGGATTGAGTCCTGCATTGGGCTCCTTGCTCAGCAGGGAGCCTGCTTCTCCCTGTGCCTGCCACTCCCCTGCTTGTGCGTGCTCATGCTCTCTCCCTTTCTCTCTCTGTCTCTGACAAATGAGTAAATAAAATATTTTTTAAAAAAAGATCACTCTGTTTTATGGAGAATAGGAGAAAGGTAAGTTAGCGAGAAGAAAAATGTTTTAAGAAGAGAGTAATCAACTATGTCAGGTAAATACAGAATAAGATTGAGAATTGACCATTGGATTTGTCAAGGTAGAGCTTATTAGGGATTCTGATAAGTGCAGTTTTGATGGAGTTAAGGAAATAAAAGCCTGGTTGCAGTGGGTTAAAAAGAGAATAGACTTAATATTGGTTAGCATATAGGGCAATGTGAACTCATACACTCAACAGTAAGACCCAACAGTTCTGGTCCTAAGTTTATGTAACCTGGAGAAACACTTGCATATGTGCATAAAGATAAATGTACTAGCAGATTGATATCAGCATTATTTGAAATAAAATGTTATTGTCCATTGAAAGAGAATGGGTAAATAAATTGTGTTATATGTCACACTATAGTGGTGAACATGAATAAACTGCAGTTACACACATGAATATAGATGAATCTTCCAAACACAATGTTGAGCAAAAAAAAAGATCATAGAATATATGTGATATAATTCCATAAATGTATATAGTTCAAAAACATGCTCTATTTGCCTGCTAGGGCTGCCATAACAAAGTATCACAGATTGGGTGGCTTAAACAACACAAATTTATATTCTCACAGTTCTGTGTATTAACTTTTGTCATCTGTGCTTTGCTTTCTTCTAGAAATTTTATAGTTTTAGTTTTTATGGTTAGGTTTATATTACATTTCTAGTTAAATTTTGTGTATAGCATAAGGAAAGAGGCTTAATTTATGTTATTGTTATATCCAGTTCTAACACTTTGTTGAAAAAAGACTGTCCTTTCACCATTGATTGTCTTGGCAACTTTGCTGATGGTCAGTTTTATGTATATGTTTGATCTATTTATGGACTCAGTCATATTTCATTAATATATAGCCTGTCCTTATGCAATGCCACACTACCTTGATTACTGTAGCCTTATAATAAAGCTTAAAATCTGGTAGTGTAACTTCTCCCAATTTTGTTCTTCTTTTTCAAAATTGTTTAGACTCTTCTGTGCCTTTCTACATGAAGTTTAGAATCAATTTGTCAATTTCTATGAAAAAGCCTGCTGAGGTTTTGATTGGGGTTGCATTGAACCTATAGAGAAGTTTAGGAAGAATTCCATCATTTTAACAATATTAAATCTTCTTCTCCATAAGTGATGGCATATATTTCTGTTTATTAGTTCTTCTTTAACTTCTCTTAGCAGTGTTTTGTAGTTTTCGTTATAAACATATTACACATATTTTGTTGAATTTGTTTTTAAATATTTCATTTTTGGTGTAATTAAAAAATATTTTTAATTTTAGGCTCTAGGGACGCCTCGGTGGCTCAGTGGTTAAGCTGCTGCCTTCGGCTCAGGTCATGATCCCAGGGTCCTGGAATCGAGTTCTGTGTTGGGCTCCTTGCTCAGCAGGGAGCCTGCTTCTCCCCCTGCTTGTGCTCTTTCTCTGTCTTTCTCTCTCTGACAAAAAAGAAAATTAGGCTCTAATTTTTCATGGCTAGTATACTGAAATACAGTTGGGTTTTGTATATTCTAATAAACTCATGTACAAGGTCTAATAACTTTTTTGAGATACTTTAGAATTTTCTATATACATGATTGTGTAGTCTATAAGTGAAGACAGTTTGACTTTTTTCTTATTTGTATCTCTCATTTATTTTTCATGTCTTGTTGCATTGGCTAGTAATACTGAATAGAGTTTGTATAGTGTTGAATAGAAGTAGTAAGAGAGAGCATCCTTGTTTTGCTCCCTTGTTCCTAGGAGAAAAGCATTCAATGTTTAACCATTAAGCTTTTGCTTTTTATAGGAGTAGTTAATTTACATATAACAGGGACGCCTGGGTGGCTCAGTAGGTTTAAGTGTCTGCCTTCAGCTCAGGTCATGATCCTAAGTCCCGCATTGGGCTCCTTATTCAGCGAGGAGTCTGCTTCTCCCTCTGCCTGCCGTTCCCCTTGCTTGTGTGCTCTCTCTCTTTCTCTGACAAATAAATAAAATCTTTAAAAAAAAATTTCATATAACATAGTTGATATTTGGATTTAAATGTACTGTCTTTGTATTTCTTTTTATTAATCCCATCTTTTGTTTCTTTTCTCCTTTAATCCCTAATTTTACATTATCAGTTTCTTTTGTTTTTCTATTTTTTCTCTATTAGCTTATTTTTTATACACCCTTTTATTATTTAATCGTTACCTCATAGCCTTTTTCAGATGTGATTCTGTGAGAAATTAAGCCCCAATGTTCTAAGGTATTACTTCTAATTAATGTATTAATTTTTCTCCTGTACATCTATTGTAGCATTAGCTGTGTACCATCTTTGGGGAGAATTAAGAAAATGGTCATTCAGATCATTTTGTTTTATTCCCTTATGGAACCCTGGTTGAAAAAGGCTGCCTAAGAAATTACAGCATATATGTTTGATTCATTACAGTTTATCTTAATTTGTTATTTCTAGGACAATTCAAAGATCTTACAATGTTTTGGTTCTACTTACCTCCATCCTCTTGTGCTATCTTTGCCATGTACTTTAATTCTCTCTATATTGTAAACTCCATAAGACACTGATACTGTGTAAGTCAGTCAGTACACATGTAGATTTACCCAGATACTTTACTTTTTCCAGTGCCTTTGCCTCTGGCAAAGGGAAGAAGCCTCCAGCTGGAGACATGAGATTTTTTTTCCTTTTGCCTTTGAAATTAATGTGTCATGTTTTCAGCTCTCTAGACCATTTGCAGTCTGACCATAGTATGCCTTTTATAGTAAATACCATTTAACAGTGAGCTGATAGTCAAGAATTTCAGCGGAGCCCCCATATTCCCTACCATCACAGGCATCTGGTATTATTAAGCATTGGAATGGCCTCCTCAAAACTCAACTCAGAAGAGATTTCTGATCCCACCTCCCTAACCTTTTCCTGGTTCATACACTTTGCTAAGGAAGTCTGGTTACTGAATATGGCTCTTCCTAAAATGGGATCATATTTTCTTAACCACTTCCTTGTAATAATCAGGACAAAAGAGTTGGGGGATTATATAGACCTATTTTTGAAAATTCAGGTTTCTGTCCTTACCATTCCTGGACATTGATACTTGTTTCTTTCTTTCCCCTAAAGTAGCCTCTGATCAGCCTGGTTGGTGGTCCTCCCAGTGACAGCCAGGCTCCCACTGCTTCCTCCTTCTCCCCCGTCCCTCAAGTACTCTTTCATATTGCTTACCTTACTTACATTAATAAGTTGCTTGTGGATCGGCTTTAATTTAGTCTCACTTTCATAATTACTATGAGTAGGTTTCAGTATTCCCAGATCTCCTGTGACAAACATATACAGAACATACCTGATAAACTGCTTCAATAAATGATTATTATGATCCATTACTTATTGATTCTTCCTAATTGCTCTCTCAGAGGATAATTTTCAGTGTTTTGGAGCACTCTCATATTGTGACAGCATTTTATAAGTAAATACTGATCTCTTTCACCTCCAACTTTCTTATGGTATGGAGAATACATTCCATTTGGATTTTTTATTATTCTAGATGGTGAGACTAAGACCAAGATTGGAGAGGTGACTTCAGAGGAGGAAATTACAACAAAAATTGAACCATTGCCTGAAGAGTCTGGCAACCCCAGAGATGATGTTCTCCAGGATTCTGAATGCAGAAGATTCTATGAATTGGGGGATAAATTAAATGAAAAGAATCAAAACCTCCTTAAAAGAAGACAGAATAACTGTGATGAATGTGGGCAAAGCTTTGCTTGGAGTACAGGCCTTACTAGGCACCAAAGAACCCACTGGGAGAAACCCTATGAATGTGATAAGTGTGGAAAGGCCTTTGGTGTGAGCTCAGCTCTGGTTCTGCATCAGAGAATTCATACAGGGGAGAAACCCTATCCTTGTACTTGGTGCATTAAAAGTTTCAGTCGGAGCTCAGACCTTATTAAACATCAAAGAGTCCACACTGGTGAAAAACCTTATAAATGTGATGAATGTGGGAAAGCCTTCAGTCAGAGTTCTGATCTCATTATCCATCAGAGAATCCATACAGGAGAAAAACCCTATCAATGCAGTCATTGTAGTAAAAGCTTTAGCCAGCGCTCAGACTTGGTTAAGCATCAGAGAATCCATACTGGAGAGAAGCCTTATACATGTAACCAGTGTAACAAGCATTTTAGTCAGAGTTCTGATGTTATAAAACATCAAAGAATCCACACTGGGGAGAAACCATATAAATGTGATGTGTGTGGGAAAGCCTTCAGTCAGAGCTCAGATCTTATTCTGCATCAGAGAATTCACACTGGGGAGAAACCATATCCATGTAGTCAGTGTAGCAAAAGTTTCAGTCAGAACTCAGACCTTATTAAACATCGAAGGATCCACACTGGAGAGAAACCCTATAAATGTAATGAATGTGGTAAAGCTTTTAATCAGAGCTCAGTCCTTATTCTGCATCAGAGAATTCACACTGGAGAGAAACCCTATCCATGTAATCAGTGTAGCAAAACCTTCAGTAGACTTTCAGATCTCATGAATCATCAAAGAATTCACACCGGAGAGAAACCTTACCCATGTAGCCAGTGCAGTAAAATGTTTAGTCGAAGATCAGACCTTGTTAAACATAATAGAATTCATACAGGTGAGAAGCCCTATGAATGTGATGAGTGTGGGAAAACCTTTAGTCAGAGCTCAAATCTTATTCTCCATCAGAGAATCCACACTGGAGAGAAACCCTATCCATGTAGTGATTGTACTAAAAGTTTTAGTCGTCGTTCAGACCTCGTTAAACATCAAAGAATACACACTGGAGAGAAGCCGTATGCATGTAACCAGTGCAATAAAAGTTTCAGTCAAAGCTCAGACCTCACTAAACATCAGAGAGTGCACTCTGGAGAAAAGCCCTATCATTGTGATCATTGTGAGAAAGCCTTCAGTCAGAGTTCTGACCTTATTCTTCATCAGAGAATTCACACTGGAGAAAAACCATACCCATGTACACAGTGCAGCAAAAGTTTCAGCCAGAACTCAGACCTTATCAAACACCAGAGAATCCACACTGGGGAAAAACCATATAAATGTCCTGAGTGTGGAAAGGCTTTCAGTCAGTGCTCAGCTCTTATCCTACATCAGAGGATCCACACTGGGGAAAAACCATATTCATGTGATCAGTGTGGCAAAAGCTTTAGTCGGCGCTCAGATCTCATTAACCATCAAAGAATCCACACTGGTGAAAAGCCATATAAATGTGATGCATGTGGGAAAGCCTTCAGCATATGCACTGAACTTACTGAACACCAGAGAATCCACACTGGGGAGAGACCCCACACGTGTGTTCAGTGCAGCAGAAGTTTTAGCCAGCTCTCTGATCTTATTAATCATGAGACCGTCCATTCTGGAGAAGACAGGCTAAGTGTGATGAATGTGGGAACACCTTTAGAGTATACACCAACTTTATTTCGTACCAGGGACACTATACCAGAAAAAAATCTTAGGAATGCTATTGATGATTATGAAAAAGGTTTTAATCAGTGCTCAACTCTTGTGCTACATTAAAAAAACCACACACACACTGGACAGAAAACATTAAGTTCTACAAAGAAAGTTCAACTGAGAGTTCAGACAGTACTAAACTTAAGAAAAATTCTGAAGAGGAGTCCTGTGACTAATTGGGAAAACTTTCAATATGAATAAAAGTATTAACCGAATGTCAGCAACGATGGAAAGAAATTTCTGTCTGCTATAAGGGAAAACAAGCCTCTGGTCTTTTATTCAAATATAATCCACAAGGAGAGAGTTTTATCATTATAAGAAATGAATAATAATATTGCAGAACCTTATCAGGTATTGTAAAGATCATGTGATGGAGTGTGCAATCAGCTCAGAAGAAAATGTGTTAGTGTTATTATCTCAAACCTTTAGTGAGCCCTAATTATCTATTGCATATCAGAGAAGTTACTTTAGAGATTGTAGGGAAAGCTTAAATCCCATATCTTAATTGGCATTCACTCATAATTGGCATGCCACCGACCTCCTGACAATGGAAGAGTCCTACCTGATGCTCACATTAGTTACCTGTCATTAAATTCCCTGTGTGTGAACATGCTATGCTATTCTGGTATTAATACTTATTAACTACATAACTCCAGTGCCCAGTTTTCTCAGAAAAAAAATTTTTTTCTTTGGCCTAGTTTTGGTTTTCCTAATGAGCATGAGTTTTCAGGTTCCTGCAATAGTCACAGCAAATATGGACTTACTGCTTTTGGTAATGCAGCCCGTAGACTAGTGGTTTGAAATCACTTCTTCAATATTACCATTTAATCACAGTTCCTAAATATGTGAAACAATTTTAAAAAAAAAAATTCCATATGTCAGAGTGTGAAGATTTCTCTAGAAATATGTTTATCTTGTCATCTATAGATTGAACAAAAATGAGAGCCAAAGTAATGCCCACATGACTAATTTGTATACCATATTCTGTCTAAAAATAAAGACATTGAATTTTTCAAGTGGCAACATTTATCAGACTTTGGTTTGGTTTGTTGATTTCTGATATACATATGATAATAGGCTACTATATGCAAAGTTTTCAGCTGAAAAATAGAAACTTTTTTTTTTTTAAGATATTATTCATTTGACAGAAACACAGCGAGAGAAGGAACACAAGCAGAGAGAGTAGAGAGGGAGAAGCAGGCTCCCCACTGAGCAGGGAGCCCGATGTGGGGCTCGATCCCAGGACCCTGGGATCATGACCTGAGCCGAAGGCAGACACTTAATGACTGAGCCACCCAGGCGCCCCAATAGAAACTTTTTTAAAAATAAAAAATTCAAATTGTTTTTCTAGTATTAACCATTTGGTAAGATTCCACTACTATACTTTGAATATTCCCCATAATCATCCAGTTAATATATCACTTTAACACAGTTACTGTTATTTACTATGTGCAAGGCATTCTTTTTAGGTTTTGTAGTATACACAGAGAATATATGAAGCATATGTGATAAAGCCTGATGTATACAGAAAACACATGTACAATCATAGAAGTAGACAAGATGCTTATAAGAGCTCAGGGGAAGTAGGGTTCAATTCTGATTGGAAAGAAAAAGTTTGGGGAGCTCCTGAGACGAGTTTTGAAGGATGGGATTAGAGACATAAGGGCAGGAAGGGAGTAGTCAGCAAAGGCACAGAAGCAAGGAAGTACAAGAAATGATGTGGAGTATGTGCTTAGTCTTTCATTCAGTACACATTCAGTGTCAGGCACTACTGAGCACTGCTCAGGGGGAGAGAAAGTGTTCCTGCCCTTACGCTCCAGTGTTTTCACAAATAATGACTAAAATGTACTTAAAAGAGTAAGAATAAGGTGGAAATAAAAATGAAGTAGGAGAAAAGATTGTTAAGGAGTATGATGCTAAACAAGCAGGCACTTCAACTTTCTGGCATTTAGTATCATGTAAAATAGAAAAGTACTAGTTATGATAGGATTGAGTTTCATATTTCTGCATTTTGTTCTCAAGGTAATGGAAGGCCATTGAGGTCTTTGAACCAAGGAATGGCGTGATCATCTTAACTGCCTTCAGAAGAATAAAATTAAGTGGGGAAGGAACAGAAAGAAAAACTATTTTGGAAGTCTGGAAATAAAAGCGTGAGGGTCACAAGTAGAAGAGCTAAAAGGCATTGACATGACAGTAAGTTGAGAAGGGAGTAGGAAAAAAGTATAATTAGCATCTGTTCTTTGGGGAATTTAAAAAGTGAAGAAATAGGATGATGAAATTTATATCTGAAGTTTACCCCTCTCTCCTTAGGATAAATTTTATTATTTTTTAAGATTTTATTTATTTATTTGACAGCGAGAGAGGGAACACAAGCAGGGGGAGTGGGAGAGGGAGAAGCAGGCTTCCCGCGGAGCAGGGAGCCCGATGCGGGGCTCGATCCCAGGACTCTGGGATCATGACACGAGTCGAAGGCAGACGCTTAACGACTCAGCCACCCAGGAGCCCCTGAGGATAAATTTTAAGAGCCAACTGCTTACTACACACTTCTACCTAGTGTCATGAACTTAACACACACCGCCATGATATCCGCCTGCTGAATTCCCTATCCTGGTGAATTGCGCTGCTAAACACCTTGCCATACAGATGAAATCACTGGTAGCCATCCTGCACTCTCCACTTTCCCCAGTTTTCTAAATCCACTTGCTCATTAGGTTTTAGAAATGAGTTACAAAAGTAACACTACTTATACAATTTTTAAAAGTCTGACAATAACAAGTGTTGAGAAGGAACATGGTAGATCAGTAATTATATTACATCAGTAATTATATTACATATAAATGGACTATAAGACAAAAATTCTTGCATTTCTTAAAGTTTATATGGTACTTACTCGAGCAAGACACACTGTAACGTCAAGGATCCAGGGAATTTGAAATTAAAGTACGGAAAAACTCCACTAAAACACACCAAAAGAAAGCTGTTAATAGTTGTACTGATATTAGACAAGAAGTAGACTTTAAAGCCAAAGGCTTACTAGAGATGAAAGGGGACACTTCTATTGATAAAAGAGTCAATTTACCAAGAAAATATAAATCTCCTGAAGTGTATACATCTAATAATTTTGCTTCAAAGTATATAGAGCTGAAATCGACAAAACTAAAATGAGAAAGATAAATCTACAATCCTAGTGGAAGACTTTCACACAGCTCTCTCAGTAAACAAGCGGAAAAAAATGTTTAAGAATATAGTACATGTGGACTTACAGGATATGTTAACAAAATGACCTAATTGATGTATAGGTAACAGTACAACCAACACTGGCACAAAACTCCTTTTGGGTGTACAAAGAGCATTTACCAAAGCTGACTGTGTGCTGGTTTGTAAAGCAAGCCTCAGCAAATTTCATCAGATTGAAATAATTTAGCATAGTGCTGTCCAACAGAATTTAGTATGTTCTTGTCAGTATTGTTCAATACAGTAATCACACAGCTAATCAGTAGTCACTAGCCACATGTGGCTACTGAGCCCTTAAAATGTGGCTAATGTGACTGATGAACAATATTTTATTTAAATAGCCACATCTGGTTAGTGGCTACCACATTGGACAGCAAGACTTAGCATGTTTTCAGACAACCGTAAAATTAGCTAGAAATCAGTAACACACACACACTAGAAAAAAAAATCCCAAATGTTTAGAAATTAAAACAATTTAAATCACCTGTAGGTAAAAGAAGCAAGCATGGTGGAAATTTGAAAGGTATTTTTGTTTGGATAACAGTGAAAATTATGGGAACGAACTAAAGCCCTGTTTAAAGAGAAACTTATAGCATTCAGTGCATAGATTAGGAAAGAAAGGGCTACAATTCACTGATTTAAATACCCACTGCAAGAAGTTAGAAAAAGAATAGTAAGTAAATGTAAAGAAAGAATGTAGAGAGAGGTTCATACAGCGGTGTTCTGGGTTCCTGTTGTAGCTCAAAGGGCAATTTTCACAATGTCCAGAATATTTGATGTCCTGCAAATGAAGGAAAAGGGTGTTGTCAAATTCCTTGCAGCAGGAACCCACGCAGGTGGTACCAAGTACATCTACAAAAGGAAAAGTGATGGCATCTTTATCATAAATTTGGAGAGAACCTAGGAGAAGCCTCTGTTGGCAGCTCATACCATTGTTGCTGTTGAAACCCAACTGATGTCAGTATCATGACCTCCAGGAATACTGGCCAGTGAGTTGTGCCGTACTTTGCTGCTGACACTGGAGTCACCCCTTATTGCCGGCCACTTCACTCCCGGAGACTTCACTAACCAGATCCAGGCAGCCTTCCAGGAGCCGAGACTTCTGGCGGTTACTGATGCCGGGGCTGATCACCAGCCTCTTACAGAGGTGTCTCGTGTTGACCTGCCTACCACAGCGATGGTAGAGCAACTCACCTGCTGTGTGTGGGTGGCCACAGCCATAGCGTGCAGCAAGGGAGCTCACTCACCGGGTCTGAGGTGGTGGATGCTGGCCCAAGGAGGTCTGCGCATGCGTGACACCATGTCCCATGAACAGCTAGAGGAGGTCATGCCTGATCTCTGCTTCTACAGAGATCCTGAAGAGATGGCCGGGGGAAGAGCAGGCCACTGCTGAGAAGGCTGTGACCAAGGAGGAATTTCGGGGTGAATGGACGACTCCAGCTCCTGAACTTACTGCTACTCAGCCTGGGGTTGCAGACTGCTCTGAAGGCGTGCAGGTGCCCTCGGTGCCTCTTCAGCAGATCCCTCCTGAAAACTGGTCTGCAGTTCCCACTGCTCAGGCCGCTGAATGGATAGGAATGACTACTGAGTGGTTTTTGTTTGTTTGTTTGTTTTTTTAAAGATTTTATTTATTTATTTGAGAGAGAGAATGAGATAAAGAGTATGAGAGGGGAGAGGGTCAGAGGGAGAAGCAGACTCCCTGCTGAGCAGGGAGCCCGATGTGGGACTCGATCCCGGGACTCCAGGATCATAACCTGAGCCAAAGGCAGTCGCTTAACCAACTGAGCCACCCAGGCGCCCCTGCCACTGAGTGGTTTTAAGCTGTTCTT